AGAAGATAAATAAATCCCAACAAAAATGGCTGCAGCCACTGAGCAATCGGGAAGCTTGGCTCTGCTCAAGGCTACAAAGTTTCCATTTTAGAAGATAAATAAATCCCAGATACCAGGGCCTTCGCTTGGATCACTGGGGGATGTGGACGGCCAGCAAACCACCACAGGCCCCTTGCCCAGGCCACCCCATATCCCAAGGGGACCCCCACCCTGATCTGGGACACCCTTTAGTGCAAACCAGCTGTCCCCCACCAGTGCTCTATCCTATCTAATAAAAGAGTAATATGCTCTATCCTATCTAATAAAAGAGTAATATGCAGATTGACCATCACTCCAACACATAAGATGGCTGCCCCCATGTGGTCAAAGATGGCTGCTCCCATGTGGACACAAGATGGCTGTCACATGATGGCCAGCAGGGAAGGACAGTTGGGAGGGACCCAGGCCTACAGGGGAGAGGAGTTGGGGGGAGGGCAGTTAGGGGTGACCAGGCCTTCAGGGGAGGACAGGGAGGGGCAAACAAGCTGGCAGGGTACCAGTTAGGCATCAATCAGGCTGGCAGGTGAGCAGTCAAACATCCCTTAGGCTGGCAGGGGAGTAGTTAGGGGGTGATCAGGCTGGCAGGCAGAAGCAGTTAGGGGCAATGAGGAAGGCAGACAGGCAAGCAGTTTGGAGCCAGCAGTCGGACATCCCTTGAGGGGTCCCAGATTGGAGAGTGTGTAGGCTGGGCTGAGGGACACACACTCCTGTGCATGAATTTCATGCACTGGGCCTCTAGTATGTACTATTTTCAACAATAAAGAATTAAAAACAAAACAAAACAACAAAAAAATAGAAAAGTCAATTTAAAAAAAAAAAGAAAAAGAAAAGAAATTGGTCCAAAGGCCTTCTTGTTTATAATGCTAGGAAATTTCAGAATTCTGGAAGCAAAATGAAGAGATAAACTCAGAATATCTTTCACAGATAGATTTACATAAAAAATCTAGTAAGTTAGCCGAAACCGGTTTGGCTCAATGGATAGAGCGTCAGCCTGCAAACTGAAAGGTCCCAGGTTCGATTCCGGTTAAGGGCATGTACCTTGGTTGCGGGCACATCCCCAGTAGGGGGTGTGCAAGAGGCAGCTGATTGATGATTCTTTCTCATTGATGTTTCTAACTCTCTATCTCTCTCTCTTCCTCTCTGTAAAAAATCAGTTAAAAAAAAAATCTAGTACCGTAAGTTAGTTAAATGCACAGACAAATCTCTTGTATGCTGTTAGCTATTTTATAAAATAGGTTTTTGCCTTTTTTTTTTTTTTAATCCAGTGAGACAGGAGCATCAAATTGCAAAACATTTGCTATTATATAAGAAACATGAACAGAATATCTTCTATTTAAAACCAAACCAATATACTTTTTAATCTATGTACAAAGTTTCTTTTGTTATTAAATAGAGCACTTAGGTAGAGGATACATTTAACATTTACTGAGTGTTTTCTAATGCTAGTGATTTTAACACATTGGATCACTGGGGGATGTGGACGGCCAGCAAACCACCACAGGCCCCTTGCCCAGGCCACCCCATATCCCAAGGGGACGGCCAGCAAACCCGAGTTTCATTTAATCTGTGCAACTATTTTCACATTTATTTTTTTGAATTTTACAGATGAAGAAGACAATTATCTTCAAAAGAGATGTTAATTAACGCCGAAACCGGTTTGGCTCAGTGGATAGAGCATCAATCTGCAGACTGAAGGGTCCCAGGTTTGATTCCGGTCAAGGGCATGTACGCTGGTTGCGGGCACATCTCCAGTTGGGGGCATGCAGGAGGCAGCTGACTGATGTTTCTCTCTCATCAATGTTTCTATCTCTCTCCCTTTCTCTCTGTAAAAAATCAATAAAATATATTTTAAAAAATTAAAAAAATAGATGTTAATTAATAATAAGTGGTGGAATGAATCTTCTACACTCAAAAGCCCAATTGCTTTTTAACTACTATTCCAGGATGCCTACTTAAAATTGGGACAACTAGTTTACCTTGCTGAAAACTGCTGTAACAGTTACATTAAAAATATGGCAACAGAAAAGCACAAAAGTATTTCCAGTAATGTATCCTCCTTACAAAGACTTGGGAAGATGCAAAGATAATGAATCAGAAAAGTCAGACATAAAAATGAGGTGACAAGACCAGAGTTGGCAAGTGGCACAGTGATGTTGGATTGTTACTGACACCTAGTGGCCTCACTGTTACAAAATAAAAAATAAATAAAGGGAAGAGAGAGCTATGATAGAGCCGAGAGAGCTATGATGTAAAATTCAAATGATTAAATCAACCTATTTTTAGTGGTTACTGTGCTTTAAATTACTTTATGAACAATAGTGGGGTTTGATGCATGCTATATCTCCACTGTGAACAATAGTAAGTATTTGTAAATAAAAATCAAGGCTGAAAATATGCTTTTGGTGTCTTCTCTGGAATGTTCCTCTGCAACCTATGTTTATATGGGAATCAGTTCCTTAACTTTCATCACTTCTTTACCACAATCTAAGAAACTAAGTAGGTTGTGTTCACAGAAAAATTCTAGTAGTTATGCTAGAATCACTAGAGGTTCTCAATTAAGTTTCACTTAATTATAAAATTATGACTAGAATGTTCTTTGCAGTTTTTTACTTTTTAATGTTTTAACTTTTAAATTTATTTATTTATTTATTTATTTATTTATTTATTTATTTATTTATTTATTTATTTTTAGAGAGGAGGAAAGGAGAGAGGGAGAGAGAGAAGGAGAGGGAGAAGAAGGGGGGGGGGGGAATTGATTACCTCCCACATGCATCCCGACATGGGATTGAACCCAAAACCTGGGTATGTGCCCTGACTGGGAATTGAACTGGCAACTTTTTGGTATACAGGACGATGCTTCAAGCAACTGAGTCACAATGGCCAGAGTGTTCTTTGCACTTTAATGATAAATGTTATGATGGCTACAAATGAGAAAAATCACTAATAGTCTGTGCAGTTAATTAAAATACCACATTTTACTAACACATGAAAAATATTTATCAGATGTAAACTTAGTACTTTGAACCAAAGAAATATTATGTCATTGTATGGGTGGGTAAGCAGCTAAATATATCTTATTTATTCCCCAATATAGTAAGCTTGTTCAGGCATAAACTTAATATTTGATTCAAAGATCTAACATGACATGCAGAAGAGGAAAAGAAATCACACAGAACTGTAATCAAAATGCTAGTTTCTCTCTGGCCTGGTGGCTCAGTTGGTTGGAACATGGTGCCATGCACCAAAAGGTTTCAGGTTCCATTCCTGGTCAAGGCACATACCTAGGTTGTGTGTTCAATCTCCGGCCGGGATATGTATGGAAGGCAACTAACTAATCAATGTTTCTCTCATCTCTCTCTCTCTCTCTCTCTCTCTCTCTCTCTCTCTCTCTTTCTTTCTCTCTCTCTCTCTCTCTCTGTCTTTCTAAAACTCAGTAAAAACTATCAAGTGAGAATTAAAAAGAAGGTTAGTGTGGAAAGTTAAGTTGATAGCTCAAGATGAAAACTTAAATTTACAATATATTATTGTTCACCTTTATTTAGAGCAGGGAGATGCCTGATAGGAATGATCCTTAGTTGCTCTGCTCATAAACGAAAATTTCTTGGCCTCTCAGTGTCCTGAAACCTAAAGAACTAGGTTTCATTCATTTTTACTGCTCTTTGTGAGCTACTGTGCTTTCAGCAATTCCTGTAACTAGACAATGTAAACTTGGGAAAAATAATTTATTTATTTTTATTTTGTTTATTGTTTCAAGTATTACGTATGTCGTCTTTTACCCAGATTGAGCCCCCCTGCCACTCCCACCCTGTGGGCAAGCTCCTACCATCCCAGTGTCTGTGTCTATTGGTTATGCTAATATGCATACATATAAATCCTTTGGTTGATCTCTACCCTCCTGCCTTAACATATCTTAAATCTTAATTTATTCCCTGATATAGTAAGATTGTAGCAACCTATGATAGTTATTTTCGATGAATAACAAATAGAGCTGCTATATACAAATCAATAGAATACCAGTATTTATAATTCTCAATATGAGTGTTAAAAGTTGTGTAAATATGTTATATATGTAAAAGAGAGGCCTGGTGCATGAAATTCGTGCACGGGAGGGGGGGTTGAGGGAGTCCCTCAGCCTGGCCTGACCCCTCAGGGAATGTCCACCTGCTGACAGAGGGATCAGGCCTAAGCCGGCAGGCAGACATCCCTCTCACTGCCCAGGATACCTCTTGCAGTCCAGGACCTCTCGCTCCTTACTGCCTTGCCTGCTCGCTGCTTCTTACTGCTCAGCTAGCTGCTTCTTAGTGCTGCCACGGAGGCGGGAGAGACTCCAGCCACCACCACTGCGCCCACCAGCCATGAGCCCAGCTTCTGGCTGAGTGGCGTTCCCCCTGTGGGAACGAACTGACCACCAGGGGGCAGCTCCTACATTTAGCGTCTGACCCCTGGTGGTAGGTGTGCATCACAGCGACCAGTCCTTCCACCCGGTAGTTTTTCTATTTGCATATTAGGGTTTCATTATATAAGATTAAGATATATAGGGAAAAAAAAAAGGAAAAAAAAAAAGAAAGATATATAGGAAGTAAAACATTCTTAAAATACATGCCATGCAGAATTATTAAGTTACTGACAGTAAGATTAACATTTGTCCCAAACTTCAAATATGCGTCCATTACTAGATCTCTTAAAAATGTATTGTTATAAATTAAAAATATTTCTACAGTTGTCACTATATTGACTATAAAAAGCAAACACTTTAAATAAATCCTTTAGAAAAATGTAATGGAAGTAAATGGAGCAAGGTATTAGATACTTACTGTAGTGTATTTTCTGACAGCAGAAATAAACGGAAACAAGAGGAGAAAAAGGCAGTGATATAATAAAAATAAAATGTTATAAAAGGAAAGAAAAATGTCAATGGAAAGGAAATACAGATTGAAGATGGTCAGTATTTTGTGATGTACCTTGAAGCCAGTCTACACCTTCTTGCAATCCTTCTCCTTTTATGGCATCACTAGCACTGAAATAAATCCACAAGAAACATATCTATTTCATTACATTGTAGAACTATCAGAACAAATAACTGCAATTTTTCCATATGGCAAATTAATATATTCTAGTAACACATATCTGAACAAAACTGGTTAAGCAATGAAACAAATGAACATAAAAAAAAAGTCTGAGCATCTCAGAGCAACAAAATTATCCGTGACTTATATTGACATAATTTTTATGACACTTGGAAAAGTGTACCAATAAAAAGTTATTATTTTAGGAACAGTACTCAGACTGACATTACTTTGAGTAATATTTCCAGTGGTGGAAAAGTTTTATGGAGTCCCCCTTCCTATACTACCCACCTCCAATGACTCAAGAGCAGTTACTTATTAGAAATACTTGACTTAGGTTGTAATTTAGCTACAGGATGCAGAGACTTTTTTGAAATGGAGTTTTATATCTATACAGTATAAATCTGTAATTATAACTTTGGTAGGAAAAAAATCCCAATAGATTTCAATAATAGTTTTTTTCTTATTGGCTTCAGGAACCTAAATAGGTTATTTAACTCTCCTGTCTTCAGTTTTAACATCTGTAAAATAGGGAGATATTATAATTGATCTCACAGAGTTATTAAGGAAATTGAATATTTGAGATATGTATATAAAACAGGGTTTTTTCATGGTCTTAAAATTAAGATTAAATCCTTATTGTGATATTTTATAAACAATTATAATTAAATTTTAAATCAAAAGAATAAAATACAAAGGATTTATTGAGTTTCAATATTTTCCAAAACATAGATTGATACTTTTTCATAACATTTTACTGATCTGGTAGTTATTTCCTTTCAAAATATAATTGTATAATAGCCTTTAATATACATAATTAGATTTCTGAATTAGGGTTTCTTTTAGTGTGCTGAAGGATGAATTTAAAATGTACTAAATAACCTAAAAGAGTTAATTTGATTAAAATCAAAGAAGAAATTTCGTCTAAGAAATTACTTATTAGATTAAGAATATGATATATTTTAAAATAGGAAGACAGAAACAAACACCATGAGATACAAAATTATTCAAGCAAACTGTGGATCATATCAATAGCAAAACATCCATAACTAAAATATTTATATAAAAAATATCAATGCATTGATTTTTATCATACACCTATAGTCCCAAATAAGATTACAGATTCAAATAAATATCATAATGAAGAAATCCCTCCTTTTTGGTGAGGAGTCACTCTCACCAAAGAAGGATAAATGTATTTTCAATTTTATACATGGTTTAAAAATATTGCAAAAAAAACAAAAAAACAAACTTAAACAAAGCAATAATTAAAACTTAGTGAATAAAACCCTGCCTGCATCTTTTCCTACTAAGTTCCAACTGTTTGAATTTTACTTTCCTTTCAAATAAATGATAAGACCTGTAACTAAATAAAAGCAGTCTTCACCACGTTCGGCAGGGCCCTAGATCTCTTGCTCCAGTCAGCTTGGACTTCTTGCTATTCCTGAAACACACCAGGTACATTCTCATCCAAGCCACTGCTGGCCAATCTACCTGGAAAGCTATTCCTCCACTCCTCTGTGAACTGCTCCTGACTTCTGTTAGATTCCAGAGAGGGAGTATCTCTCATCATTTTTATCTTATTGTTCTACTTTGTTTTTCTTCGCCTTCCCAGCTGACATTTTATACATTTATTTACCTCTTTTATTATCTCTCTCTTAAAAGGTAGTAAATAAGCAAAAATATACACATATCACATCAGGAAATGAGTTAAAGAACACACAGGAAGAACAATACTGCAATTAGATCCTGAAAATCAGAGTTGACTACATGTCTCTATAATCTTTTATTGCCAGTAAATTTAATTGTATGAAAGGCAAGAGAGATGCAATATTTTATATCGATATCACTGTACATTAGTTTTATCTCTAAAATTGTAAAAGAAGGATAAATGTATTTTCAATTTTATACATGGCTTAAAAATATTGCAAAAAAACAAGCAAACAAAGCAGTAATTAAAACTTAGTGAAATGTCCAGAAGTCAAAATTATAGGCAGATTTAAAGAAATAATTGGCATTCTTCTATAAATTATACAGAAAACACAGGAACTAGAAATATGATGTTCCACATCTTTATAGCATCAGGATATTACTTTGTATCTCAATAAAAAATATTTAGATGTCACAAATGAATAAAATTTTTGAATCTCAAGGGCTAATTAGTTTAAGTAGAGATTTTTCCACTTACAAAATTAACTTCTACTTCAAAATTAATGTAGGACTGCATCTTTTACTAATTAGACCCATTTTTTGAATGTTATGCTTTCTATCAAAGCACTCACAATACTTTTAATACAATGGAAAAATAAAAATTTATTCTACTCTAGACATTATCAATTTAGATGATTTACCTAAATGATACAGAGAAATGCAAAGGTTATATTGTAAGATATTTCTCTACTCCCAAATCCTTCCTCTCTTTATCAACAAAATATCACAGAACCTCAAATTCCAAGTGAAGAGGCATTTAGGACACATTAACTTTTCTTTTGATTCCAGAGTAAGGAGGGTTTAACTGGGATATGCAGTGTTTCACTCCTGGGTAGAGGTTGTGAGTACTGAGGAATTTCAAGAGTTTCCTCAGCTCTCTTCTACACCATTACTCTTTTAGCACCGAGGTTAGCTCAAGTTCTTCTCTGAGCTCTACTAACTCGTCACTTCATATTTTGTTTCTTCTTCTAAAGTCAGCGGATTCTCTGCCTCTGTGTGCAGTCTTTTTCCATAGATGCTATAATATCATAAAAAACGAGAAGGATATCTTGCAGTGGTGGGGAGGTAGGTGGTGGATAGAGCAAGCTTAATGACAGGTAGTAGTAGGCACTAAAAAACACTATCTAATAAACAATGTAAAATAAGTTCGGATATTATTTATGATTTCAACCTTATTAGTATATTCAAACAAGGTATTTCCATTTACATTTATTCATATAAACAATATTTATTGTGAACCTACTAAGTACCATGTACTACTATTTCAGGGGTTACAGAGTGAAAATAAAACCCCGGTCTCATGGTGCTAATGCATTAGTGTAAGAGGAGAGACTATAAAACAAAGAAAAGAAGAAAAAGAGGTCATATGGCAACAGAAAAAGCAAAGTAATAAGGAAAAAAATGAGGCAGAGTATGGCAGAGTGATATTTTAGACAATTATCAGGGGAGGTCCCTCTCCTGAAGAGAGTGCAATAGCAAGTCAAGAACATTATTTTGCAGAATGGTTTAGACAAAGGGAGTAACAAGTGGAAATGCCTTGAAATGAGAGTATAGTTGACTAATTCAATGTATAGAAGAAATCAGCATGGCTGAAGTTGGTGAGTAGTCTGTTTACTTTATTCTTTTAAAGAGTTATTTATATTTTTCTATCCCCAAAAAGATTTGAAAGGTTTTAACAGCAATAGGTTCATAAATACCTGCAATGCTATTCTATAAAACAAAATCCTTAGCTTACATCCCACCAAGTTAGATCACTTATAAAATGAGTTTGGAAAAGAAACACTGAAGCTTGGAGATTTTTCAAAATGATAAAATGAAAAATAAAATCCACAACTTTACCAAATGTGCCATGGCTTATCTTTGATGTTCTCTAAACACAGCAACTGAGACACTTTTACAGATGTCACTGCATCTCTAAGGTCCATTTTGTTTGCAAAGAATAAGATTGGTATTCGGCGGTGCTTAATATCTGAAATATAAAAGAAGACTTCATCATACTTTCAGCCTTATGGTCATTTCCCCCTAATTCATTAAAATTAAAATTCACTGAAATTGTTTTCCAACTACTTCTTTCTATACCACAAATACATAAACTTTTAAAGACATAAACTGTCAGGTATATTTGAGTGATACAAGAATTTAAAAATACTTCTTCCAAGCCTTCTGGTTGGAGTTTTAAAACAAAGACAAGAGAAGTGAATCTGGGGGCTCATTAAGCAGTTTCTGAGCAGCACCTACGAAAAGGTCAAATTGTGTTATTTATTTATTTATTTATTTATTTATTTTTTCAGTCAACGCAAAAGCAAACTAGAAGTAGGAGGAAGATGAACTGCATCCCAATTTTAGTTTAGTCATAGTATTGTAAGTAATAAACTAAATATTTAAAGAAGATATTTCTATTTACAGTATATGAAACATTTCTCCCTGTTTTGAATACATAATTCATTTAAATAGTTCAAAACTCAGAAGATACAAAATGGTGTGCAGTAAAAGGTTCTCCCTCTCACCTTTGTCCCAGGCCATTCCCTTATCCTCCCTAGAAGAGGCAACACATAGCATCCACTATATGGAGTCTTTTTAGAAACATTTTATATATTTGTAAATAGTTATTATATGTGACTAGAGGCCCGGTGAATTAAATTTGTGCAGGGGGGGAGTAGGGTGGCTAGCCCTGGCCAGCGATCAGGGCTGATCTGTGGGGCAACCAGTGGGGCGACTGGAGGACCCCTGCTGGCACCTACCTTGGCTGGCCTAGGCCTGCAGGCTGGGGGCAGCTCCTGTGTTGAGCATCTGCCCACTGGTGGTCAGTGAGTGTTATAGTGACCAGTTGTTCCACTGTCCGGTCAATTTGCATATTAGGCTTTTATTATATAGAACTAGAGGCCTGGTGCATGAATTCATGCATGGGTGGGGTCCAGCAGCCCTGCCCTGATGGGCGCCTACAGAGCTGGGCCAGCAGGGGGGGAAGGGGCCATGGATGATTGGCCGGCTGGCCCTGCCCCTGATCAGGGTGTTGGGGCTGATCAGGGGCTGGGCCAGCGGGGAGGGGGGAGCATCAGGGCCCCCAGATCAGGCTGGTTGACTGCCACAGTGTACATCATAGCCACCAGTTGTTCTGCCATTCCAATTGTTGGGCTTTTATATATATAGATTATTTATACAAATAGTAGCAGGCTATTCTCACATTTTATACCTTTTGCTTTTCACTTAATTTCATATTTTGGAGACTATCCATTACCAGTACATATAGAACAGTTTCTTCATTATTTTAACTATTGTGGAATATTCTGTCTTTTAGTACTATATATCATAATTTAGTTAACCAAATTCAACTGACATATATTTATGTTGTCACCAATATTTACAACTACAAATAATGCTGTGATGAATAAACTGCAGAACATTTTGTAAATGGGACAGCATGTCTGTTAGATAAATTTGAGAAATGGAATTACTGGGCTAAAGGATATATAAATTGCTATTCTGACAGAAAGTGATTACCTACAGAACTGCCTTTCCTTAAAAATTGTATCAATTCACACCTAAACAACATTGTATAAGAGTGTTTTCAGTAAAAAGTACTATGAGAATGTGTTTATTTACATTGTTCTGAGAAAAGTTAAGAATCTATATATTCAAAATGTTTATAATTCCTTCTTTATGAACAAGTTTGGCATATCATTTTTCTATTAGTTTTTATTTTCTTATTGATTTGTAGAAAAGGTTTAAGTAATAAGGAAATAAATCTTATAGCTATGATATGAAATACAAATAGTTTTTCTTGCCTGTCATTTGTCTTTGACTGCTTACAGTCCATTTTACAATTAAAAACTTTTTATGGAGTCATAGCCATTGATTTTCTGTCTGTCTCTGTTTCTCTCTCTCTCTCTCTCTCTCTCTCTCTCTCTCTCTCTCTCTCTCTCTCTCTCTCTCTCCCTTCTTCCACCTTCCTTCCTTCCTTTCTTTTGTGTGTGTGTGTAGGATTCTGGATTTTGTGTTATAGAAAGATCCTCCCTTGCTCCAAAATTATTTTTAAAAACCTCCCATAGTTTCTTCTGTAGAGAACGCCTGGGAAGGCACATGGGCATTCTTCCTTAATGATTGTCAGCTGAACCCAAGGCGACAGGCAAGCAGTGTCTTGGTTACACATCTTACCAAAAAGGCAGATGTGTTCTCAGCATTGACTCTTATCTTTGCCCAGGTGTCGGGCAGTGGGTTTTGATATGTAAGTCCAGTAGCACTAGAAATGCTCAGGCATACTCAAGAACACAAATAATCTCCTTTGTCTTGACTTTTGGTGAAACTTCCTGGTATTTGGGGGTATAAAATAAACATGCTGCATAGGCTCTGGGTCACTGTCTCTCCATTAGAAGAGGGCAGCAGCCCACCCCGTCCCAGCTTTTTCCTTCTATCTCTGTGTCTTGTCACTTTCTTTTATTTCTCAATCCCAGCCCCTCTACTCGAAGAATTGGATCATCTCTCTTTCCGTGCAGAAAGCGGAAAAGAGAGACCCCGCCATATTCTTCTGCTGCTGTAATAGTGTAATTTTTACATTTCCATTAGTCCAGCTGGAACTTATTCTGGAGCAGAAAATGTCAAAATAGATTAAAAAAAGAAAAAAAAAAAGAAAAAAGAAAAAAAGAAAGACATAACCACATGATGTTTATAAGAAACACAATTTGAACACACTAACAAGGTGAAAGTGAAAGGATGGAAACATGCATACTTGTAAGTGAATGAAAGCTGGCCTGGATACACTACTATCAGATAAATTAGGTCTAGTAACAATTAATGTCGTTTTCTAATACCTTTTTAAAATCGAATTTATTTAAACAATACAACAAAATTTAATCAACAATATAGTTGCCGTTGTTTTCTACTACTTGTGCCCAACGCTCAGGAAGCATTTTAATCCCTCTGTTGTAAAATTCTTGTGATTTTGATGCAAAAAATTCGGTCAATACATTTTTGAGCATTCTTCATTATTAAATTTTTTTCCAAGAAGAAAGTTTTGCAAAGAATGAAACAAATGGTAATCGGAAGGGGCAATATCAGGAGAATATGCAGGTTGAGGGAGAACTTCCCATTCCAACTGGCGCAGTTTTTCAGCAGTGATTCTTGCAGTATGCGGTCGTGCGTTCTCGTGGTGAAGAATTACGCCCTTCCGATTAATCAGCGCGGGTTCTTTTTCTCTTAAAGCTTGGGCTAACCTTTCCAATTGGGCACTATACACTGCACTTGTAATGGTTTGGTTAGATGGTAAAAGTTCATAATGAAGAATTCCTATAAAATTCCACCAAACACACAACATCACTTTTTTCGCATGCAAGTCAGGTTTTGGCGTGAGCTGCGGAGCCTCATTTTTGTCCAACCATTGAGGCCGCCTTTTCAAATTAACATACAGCACCCATTTTTCATCTCCGGTAACAATTTGCTCTAAAAACGGCAAACGGTTTTGACGAGAGAGGAGCGAACTGCAAATTGTGACTCTTTGATTACGGTTGTTGTTGGTCAACTCATGAGGAACCCATTTTCCAAACTTTTGGACTTTGCCAAGTGCACGCAATTGATTGGAAATTGTTTTTTGTGAACAATTTAAAGTTGTCACAAGCTCTTGTTGGGTAATTTGAGGATTTTGCACCAAAAGAGCTTGAAGAGCTTCTTGATCAAAATTGGACACACGGCCTCGACCACTCTTGTCATCTAACGAAAAATTTCCCTCGCGAAATTTCTCAAACCAACGCTGGCATTTTCTGGCGCTAACTGCATCTTGACCAAGAGCACTACAGATGTTTTTTGCAGCCTCACTTGCTTTTCTTCCTAATTGGAACTCGTAAAGCATGCAGTGCCGAATATGCTCTTCATCCGCCATCTTCTTAGCCCTAGTTTTGCAACAAAAACCAAACCAAACACAAACTTTTTCAAGCAAAACTTGTTAATTGCACTTCACACGTTCTGTAGATACCACGTGTTTGAAGGTTATGTCAATACAAGTCAACGCCAAGCAAGATTTTAAACGAATGTTAAAAACGACATTAATTATTACTAGACCAAATAGCTTTAAAAAATAAAGGGCATCACCAAAGAAAAAGAAAGGCAGTAAAATTATAAAATGGTCAATTAGTCAAGAAGACAAAACAATTTTAAGTATATTTGTATCAAATAAACAACCTTCTAAACACAAAGTAAAATATGACAGTATTAAAGGGAAATACAACAAAATACACAATATAGATGCTTCAACACTCTTCTCTCAGAAATTGACAGAACAAATAAAAAATCAGTAAGAATGTGGAAGATATGAGCAACACTATCAACAGTTACTTATAGAATATTTCACACAACAGAAAAACACACATTCTATTTAACTGCAGGTGAATTACAAGCCAAGTTAGACCGTATCTACTGGGCCATGTATTTTGAAGGGTGAAATCATATAGAACGTTGTTTGATCAAGTGGAATTAAATTAAAAATCTGTAAGAAAATATACATACAAATTTCCCAACTATTTGAGAAATTAAATAATATACTACTAAAGATTCCAAGAGTCAAAGAAGAATTCACAAGGTAAGTTAGAAAATACTTTGACCTAGATAATAAAAAAAGTTATCGAAATTTGTGACATGAAGCTAAATCCTTAGAGAATATGTATTGCTTCAAATGCTTAAATTAGAAAAGTTATAAAATCGATGTTGTCCATTCCCATCTGAAAAAGAGACAATGAAACACAAGGGGAGTAGAGATAGTTCATAATAAATCAAGAGGAGAGAATAATGACAAAAGAGGAAATTTAAAATGCCAGAAGTTTTTAGAAAATTAATAAAACCAATAAACTTTTAAAAAAGATTGAGCAAGAAGAGGGAGGACACATAAATTACTAATACCAGGAATGAAAGAAGATATATCATATGGATCTTGTAGGCATTAAAAGGATAAGGAGAGGATGCTATAAATAATGTTATGCCAATAAATCTGACAACTTAGATAGTACATTAATAAAGCTGGTCACAAATTACCAAAACTGACCGAAGAATAAATATAACTTTAATGGTCTTATATCATTCAAGGACTTGAATTCATAATTCACACCCCTCACTCCCTCAACACACACACCAAATACTGGCAGTGGTATGTCAGTCATTGCTATATTCTGTCTAACTTTTAAGGAAGAAATAATAGGAATTCTACACAAATCCAAAAATAAAAAGAAGTATATATATTCTCCAACTCATTTTATGAAGCCTCTATAACTCTGATACAAAATCAGAAGGGGACATTACAAAAAAGAAAGTAAAACACCAAAACTTGTAGTCAGCAGCATGTTGGCATGACAGGATCTCCAGTTCTTTATTACTGAGGTGGGACAGCTATAATTCAACCAAGGATTCTCTGTTTAAAACACAAACATGTCTGAGAATTGTACACTGAGACAGCTGAAGGTGGACTATTTTAGCAAACAGTGGAGGCAGAATGGTAGGAAGAAGGACAGAGACAGAAGTAATGGGCAGCCAGGTGCTGGCTGTGGACCCCAGGGGGCATGATAGCAGTGAAGGGCTGGGGTGCAGTCCCAGTGGGCAGACCAGCCTCGAGGGCAGAGACAGCCATCAGTCCTGGGGCACACACTGAGGCTGAGCCCAGGCCAGAGAAACAATACAACAAAATCACTGTGCCTGAAGCCTGCCGGCACTGAACAAAGGACTCCACGTGCACAGGAATCAGCCCACCCTACCCGCATGGCCCACCTGGCACTTTCATATTCAACTAGGCAAATGTCGAAAGAGCTGGAGAAAAAACAAAAACCATTCCAGCCTAAGTAGTCTGTAGACACTGGGTCTAAACTCAGGAGGAAGAACAGAACCACAGGCAAGAACCGCTTCATCTGGCCCATCCATCCCTCACCCACTGCAGAATAGCCTGATAGAGACAGCTGGGGGCTCCTGGCTACAGGAAGGCAGTGCCAGGAATACAAAGGCGATTCAAACCCCACCACTTGCAATACTCGGGAGTGGAGCCCCGAGACTGAGCTGACCAGGCGGGAAGGGAATATGCAGCCTTTTCCACCGGAGGAGGTGACACCCACAGAGATGCCAGAAGCCCCAGCAGTGCAGGTAAGAGAAAATGAAACCTGAGCTTCAGCGCCACCTCCTGGAAAACAAAGGAAATACTTCTACATATCAACCTGTTTAACATCTATACACAGTAGGTCCTCGGGTTACCTGGGAGATCAGGAGATCCATTGCTACTGAGCGAAGTAATGCGATTTTTGCCAGAAGTAGGAACCCACCTACACAAGCACATACGTCACTAACATGGAGCACATACACAGCAGTTATGAAGTGAAACAGTAAAACTAATTTAAAAGAAAGAACAATTCCTGACCTTTGTGGTAAATAAATAATAAAAAACATCAAAGCACATATGTACATATGTCGAAATGATGAAACTTTTTTTTTTTTTTTAATAAATGGGAGATAGCGACACAACCAAGAAACAATGTAGGTCAAGTCAAGCGCAACAGGAGGACTGCCTGTACATAAAAAGCCAGAGACCTGTTGTGATGACGCCCACTGTGGCCAGCAAACCAGCCCGATCTGGGTTGGGTCAGCTGTGGCCCCTCTCCCCAGCTGGCCCTGACCCTGATCGTCCCTTTACCCCTATAGAAGGTGGGGCCAGCAAGCCAACTTCCTGCAGCCCCTCCCCCTACCAGCCCCACCCCAGATAGGCCCTCCCATTCGGGGGTGAGGCTAGCCAGCCCACCACCCTCCGCCAGCCCCACTCCCTATCAGCTCCCACCACCCCATCGACCCTCTGCCCCTACCCCTAGCCAGCTCTGCCCCCAATTGGCCCCCACACACCAATCAGGGGTGGGGCTGCCCCCAGCCACTGACCCTTGATTGGCCCCCAACTCCATTTGGGGGCCGGCCGGCCCACCACCCACAGCCCCTCCCTATAGCTAGCCCTGTTCCCAATTGGGCCCCCACCTCAACTGGGAGTGGCATGCCAGCCAATTGCCTGTGGCCACTCCCCCAGCTGGCAGGTCAGCCAGCCAACCTCCCACTGTCTCCTCCTCCTAACAGGCCCAGCCCCAATCTGCCCCAATTGGGGCTGGGCTGGCCATATCCCACCTGTGCACGAATTTGTGCACTGGGCCTCCAGTCTATATAATAAAAGCCTAAGCAACCATTATGGCAGAATGACCAGAACCAGCTGCTATGATGTGCACTGACCACTGGGGGCAGATGCTCAATGCAGGAGCTTCCCCCTGGTGGTCAGTGTGCTCCCACAGTGGGAGTGCCACTCAGCCAGAAGCTGGGCCCATGGCTGGCGAGTGCAGTGGTGGTGGCGGGAGCCTCTCCCACCTCTGCAGCAGCACTAAGGGGCAGTGAACTGAGTGGTAAGGAGCAGCAAGCAGGTGGGTGTACCGTAAGGAGTGAGGGGTCCTGAACTGATAGAGGCCAGCCTGAGGGATTCCCACCCCCTAGTGCATGAATTTCCTGCACTGGGCTTCTAGTTGAAGTATAAAGTTTTTCAAAAAGCAAATTTTGCCCTGGCTAGTTGGTTAGGTTGGTTGAAATGTAGTCCTGTGCACCAAAGTGTTGCTGATTTGATTCCCAGTCAAAAACATATACCTAGGTTATAGGAGACAACCAATCAATGTTTCTCTCACATGATTTTTTTTCATCCTTCTTCTCTCTCTCTCTTAAATCAATAAAGACATATTCCCAGGTGGGGGTTAAAAAAACACACACAAAACAGAGAGATAAGTCATCAAGCACATCGAGTAACCAAGATTAGGGGATTCAGAAAAAAAGAAAAAAAGAAGAAAAGAAAAATCTCCAGAAAATAGACATGAGAAAAATGTAATTTAAATGACAGAAAATTGAAGATTTCAGTTCTCAAAAATCTCAATAAGATACAAGAAATCTAAGAAAGGCAACTGAATGAACTAAGATTAAAAAAAAAAAATCAATGAACTACTATAAAAAAGAACCAAACAGAAATCTGGAGTTGAAGAACTCACTAAATGAAATGAAGGATGAACTAGTGAGCTTAAGAGAAGATCAGATGGAAGAAAGAATTAATGACATAGAATACACAAATCACGCCAAAACCGGTTTGGCTCAGTGGATAGAGCATCAGCCTGTGGACTGAAAGGTCCCGGGTTCGATTCCGGTCAAAGGCATGTACTTTGGTTGAGGGCACATCCCCAGTAGGGGGTGTGCAAGAGGCAGCTGATTGATGACTCTCTCTCTCTTCAGTGTTTCTAACTTTCTTTCCCCTTCTCTTCCTCTCTGTAAATAATCAATAAAATATATTAAAAAAAATACACAAATCTAAAAATGACTTAGGTGGAAGAAGAGAATTGAGAGGTTTAAAAAAAAAAGCACTCTAGGAGAATGATCTGATTATATTAGAAAGAGCAATCTATAATAATAAAAGTATGATATGAAAATTGACAGAACAACCTACCAGCGGAATGACTGTCCAGATGACCTTCCGGAACAGCCAGGGGGTGGGGAGACGGGGCTGTGAGGCAGCCGGGGCCACAAAGACAGAGAGGCAGCTGAAGCGACCAGGGCTGTGAGGGCCTACCCTTGCACAAATTTCATGAATCGGGCCTCTAGTATATATATAAAAACCCTAATCGACTGAACGACCAAACAACCGAATGACTGGTCATTATGATGTGCACTGACCACCAGGAGGCAGATGCTCAACGCAGGAGCTATATCCTGGTGGTCAATGAGCTCCCACAGCCAACCTCCCGTGGCCCCTTCCCCTGGCCTGCCAGCCAACCTCCCATACCACCTCCCCTCAGCTGGCAACCTTCCATAGCCTCTCCTTCTAGTCAGCTGGCCCCAATGGCCCCTCCCAATACTGACCAACCTCCTGTGGCCCTGATTGGCTGCAATCACTGGCTAGGCTAAGGGACCCCACCCGTGCACAAATTCGTGCACTGGGCCTCTAGTACATACATGCACGAAAAGATGGCAACCAAAATCATTTTGATAAGTGTTGAGATACATGGATTTTTACTTTCTTTCTATCTGCATAATTTGCTATTGACACATATTATTTATATAATCAGAAAAAAGGATGCTTTTATTTTGGGGAAAATTTATTTTGCAAAAAAAACATTGCAAAAAGCTTTGCAATTTAAAAAAACATATAGTGCTATAGCTAAAGATATTATGAGTTATGCATAAAGTTTTTAAGAGAAGTTAATTGTATAGTGCAGGCAATATTTTTTGCCAACACCAAAGAATAAAACATTCTATGTAAACAGACGGACACATACACATACATACCTGGATGATTCAGAAGAGTATCAAGTTCTTCTTTGGCCACAACCATTCTTAATCTATCACTACTATCAATGACAAAAATAATGGCTTGTCCATCTCTGTATAATATAAAGAATGACAAAAATTAAAAATAAACTTACACAATTTTCCATGTTTACTCTCCATTTCTATGTCATAACCTGTATTATCTCTTCATATACTGTATGCATTTATCATTATAGGAGCTTTGGTACTATTTCTTATTAGTTCATATGAGTGATTATTATATTAATTATTAGTGGTTGCAACATAATTACTTTTCACTTAGATGATAATAAGGTATAACTTAATGACTTGTTATTTCATAATTTTAAAGAAATTACAAGTAAAGCCACAACCCATTATATAGATATAACCATTAATTTTTTGTATAAATAAATCTCAACACTGTGTGTAGTCACATATGAATATCTACATCTATACAAATGGAATCCTCTTGTTTTATACACTGCCTTTTTGACATTTATGTACATTTCCTTGACCTTTTTCACTGTATAATTTGAATCACTTTTATATGAAACATTAAAGCTCTATACTAATGTTTCTCAAATAATTTTTACCATAACTATAGTAAGACATACATTTTATATTAAGATGCAATAGACACATAACTATATGTAAATATATCTGGATAGGTCCCCTGAAACAATACCCTGTTTCCCCAAAAATAAGACAGTGTCTTATATTAATTTTTCTCCCAAAGTTGCGCTAGATCTTATTTTCAGGGGATGTCTTATCTTTCCAAGCGCTGGGTCTTATTTTTGGAGGATGACTTATTTTCGGGGAAACACGGTACTTACAAATAGCTTTTATTTTATTCTATTTTATATTTTAAGCTGAGAGCCAATCACTGAACTAGTTTAAGGATTCACTTACAGATCACAGAGGCACTTCAAAAATCACTGATTCCCTCCTCACCCTTTCTTTTAATAGTTATAAAGTATTCCATGCATGATGTGCCATCAAATAATGTCAATCTTCTATCATTGGACTTACAGGATATTTCTAATGTTCATTCTTATAAAAAACCTCAAGATAAGCATTCTTCTAAATATATTTTATAATTTCTTAATATTAAAGATCTGTTCTTAGGAATAAAATTTCTAGGAGTGTATATACAATGAAAAATTTTAGATAAACATTGATAAATTGACCTTCAAAAATGCTGTATCAATGAATACTACTCCCAGCATTTTTCCTATTAGGTCTAGTAATAATTAATGTCGTTTTCTAATACTTTAAATCAAATTTATTTAAACAATACAACAAAATTTAATCAACAATATAGTTGCCGTTGTTTTCTACTACTTGTGCCCAACGCTCAGGAAGCATTTTAATCCCTCTGTTGTAAAATTCTTGTGATTTTGATGCAAAAAATTCGGTCAATGCATTTTTGAGGCATTCTTCATTATTAAATTTTTTTCCAAGAAGAAAGTTTTGCAAAGAACAAAACAAATGGTAATCGGAAGGGGCAATATCAGGAGAATATGCAGGTTGAGGGAGAACTTCCCATTCCAACTGGCGCAGTTTTTCAGCAGTGATTCTTGCAGTATGTGGTCGTGCGTTCTCGTGGTGAAGAATTACGCCCTTCCGATTAATCAGCGCGGGTTCTTTTTCTCTTAAAGCTTGGGCTAACCTTTCCAATTGGGCACTATACACTGCACTTGTAATGGTTTGGTTAGATGGTAAAAGTTCATAATGAAGAATTCCTTTAAAATTCCACCAAACACACAACATCACTTTTTTCGCATGCAAGTCAGGTTTTGGCGTGAGCTGCGGAGCCTCATTTTTGTCCAACCATTGAGGCCGCCTTTTCAAATTAACATACAGCACCCATTTTTCATCTCCGGTAACAATTTGCTCTAAAAACGGCAAACGGTTTTGACGAGAGAGGAGCGAACTGCAAATTGTGACTCTTTGATTACGGTTGTTGTTGGTCAACTCATGAGGAACCCATTTTCCAAACTTTTGGACTTTGCCAAGTGCACGCAATTGATTGGAAATTGTTTTTTGTGAACAATTTAAAGTTGTCGCAAGCTCTTGTTGGGTAATTTGAGGATTTTGCACCAAAAGAGCTTGAAGAGCTTCTTGATCAAAATTGGACACACGGCCTCGACCACTCTTGTCATCTAACGAAAAATTTCCCTCGCGAAATTTCTCAAACCAACGCTGGCATTTTCTGGCGCTAACTGCATCTTGACCAAGAGCACTACAGATGTTTTTTGCAGCCTCACTTGCTTTTCTTCCTAATTGGAACTCGTAAAGCATGCAGTGCCGAATATGCTCTTCATCCGCCATCTTCTTAGCCCTAGTTTTGCAACAAAAACCAAACCAAACACAAACTTTTTCAAGCAAAACTTAATTGCACTTCACATGTTCTGTAGATACCACGTGTTTGAAGGTTATGTCAATACAAGTCAACGCCAAGCAAGATTTTAAACGAATGTTAAAAACGACATTAATTATTACTAGACCCTACCCTCTTTCAGCATGGTCCTTATCATTCTTTTCAATTTTTGCCACTCTAACAGTATATTATTTTACTTCATATTTCATGAATTGCTAGTGAAGTTTATTAACTTTTCATATATTTATTGGACATTGGTTTTTTTTTTTGTAAATCACTTTTTAAGTTATCAATTAAGATTTTAAAGTTCAATATCATTGTTAAATCACATAAATATAAAACTAAAACAACTTTAAAAAATACTTAAAAATATATATTTGTATTGATTTCAGAGAGAAAAGGGAGGGAGAGATTTATAGAAACATCAATGATGAGGAAGAATCATTGATCAGCTGCTTCCTGCATGCCCCACATTGGGGATCTCGCCAATAAACCAGGCATGTGCCTTGACTGGAAATCAAACCATGATCTCCTGGTTCACACAACCATTGAGCCACACTAGCCGGGCATACACAATTTTTGAATACCACTTTATCCTGTCACTTAAAAAAATAAATGCAGATTATCACAGTCATATACTACACTAATGAATATAGAAGCTGGTACAACTAGAGATATCTTTTTTTTTTTTAAATCTTTATTGTTCATATTATTACAAATGTCCCTTCCCCCCCCTTCCCACCCCACCCTCTGCCCTTTCCCCACCCATCATTGTCCTCATCCATAGGTGCACAGTTTATGTTCAGTCTCTTCCCACACTCCCCTCTCCCCTTTTCCCCAAGAATCGTCAGTTCACTCCCCTTCCATACCTCTGATTCTATTATATTCACCAGTTAATATTGTTCATCAGATTTTAAAAAAAAATTTTATTTGGTTTTTAGATTCACTTGTTGATAGTTATATATTTGTTGTTCATACTTTTTATCTTTATTTACTTTCTCTTCCAAAAGAACCCCCTTCAGCAATTCATATAATTCTGGTTTGGAGGTGATGAACTCTTTTACCTTTTTTTTATTGGTGAAGCTCTTTATCTGGCCTTCGATTCTGAGTGATAGTGTTGCTGGGTAGAGTAATTTTGGCTGTAGGTTCTTGCTATTCATCACCTTGAATATTTCTTGCCATTCCTGTCCGGCCTGCATGGTTTCTGTTGAGAAATCAGCTGACAATCGCATGGGTGCTCCTTTATAGGTAACTACCTGCTTTGCTCTTGCTGCTTTTAATATTCTCTCTTTGTCTTTTGCTCTTGGAATTTTAATTATGATTTGTCTTGGTGTGGTCTTCTTTGGATTCCTTTTGTTTGGAGTTCTGTGTGCATCCTGGACTTGTAAGTCTAATTCTTTCACCAGGTGGGGGAAGTTTTCTGTCACTATTTCTTTATGTTTTCGATATCTTGCTCTCTTTCTTCTTCTGGGATCCCCATAATTCTGATGTTGGTTCGCTTGAAGTTGTCCCAGAGGTTTCTTACATTATCTTCAACTTTCTGGATTCTCTTGCCTTCTTGCTTCTGCGAAGGAGTGTCTTCCGGCTCTTTATGTTCCAAATCTTTGACTTGATTCTTGTGATCTTCCATGCTGTTTTTAGGACTCTGTATAATATTTTTTATTTCAGACAAGGTATTCTTTATTTCTTGTTGATCCCTTATTATTTCTAGTTGATCCCTCTTCATATCCTCATAGGTCTCATTTATTTTATCGGTCTTTTCTATGAGATTCTTGAAAAACCTTATAACCATGGTTTTGAACTCAAAACGCTTTTTGTCCTCCATCTCTTTTGTTTGTGATCTATTTCGTTGTCTCCACATTTTCACAGCTTCCCTGATGGGGCGGAGTTTCAGGGTGGAGCCTACAGCCTTGGCTTCCGTCAGCCATGCCCTATGCAACTCCTGAGTCTCAGTATTCCTCAGGGTCCTTCAGTACTCCCTGCAAGCACCTCTGAGAGTGAGGTACCCTCGAGTTTCACTTGCTTCCAAACAGTCTAGGCTCTCCCCCAATGGAACTGGGGTTCAGTTCAGTTGGAAGTGGGATTGGAGGTGGCGTTTAGAGCAGTCTGCAGCCCCTGTCTCCTTCCTGCCAGGGCAATCCAGCGGCACAGCCAACCATCCCTTCTCTGTGTGCAATGTGCGCAACTCCAGGGGCTCTGCCTTCTGCCGCTCCCCCGGGATTTCACTTTACAGCCCAGCTCCCTCTGGATGAGCCTGGGTCCCTGGGGTCTGGCCTAGAACTGGGGTTCAGAGCAGTCAGAACTGGGGTTCATCACAGTCCAGAGCTTTTGTCTCCTTCCCGCTAGGGCAATCTGGCAGCAGAGTCAACAGTCAGTCCTCTGCTCGCAATGTGTGCGCCTCCGGGGCTCTGTCTTTCACTGCTCCCCCGGGGTTCCGCCTCACAGCCCCAGGTCCCTCTGTGTGAGCCTGGGTCCCCAAGGTCTGGCCTAGAGATGGGGTTCAGAGCAGTCGGAACTGGGGCTCAGCACAGTCCGGAGCTTTTATCTCCTTCTCACTAGGGAACGCCAGCCAGGCACTCAGCCTCCTCCTCCTCTCCGGCTCCATCCTCTCCGCACTCCGAGTGTCTCCGCTCTTCCTTCTGGTTTTCTCCTTGCTTCTCGTTGTAGAATTTCCAGTCAGTCGACTTTCCTGTAGTTCTGGGTAATGTCCATTTTATATTTTAGTTGTATTTTATTGAAATTGTTGTGTGCGGCTACGGTTAGGTGTTTACCTGTGCAGCCATCTTGGATCCTCTAGAGATATCTTTCAAGAGCTTTAAAGATAGTCAATCACTTTGAGATAGTAATTTAATTTTTGGTATTTACTCTATGTAAAACCAAAGTGTGACAAAGATTTATGCACTAAGATGTTAATTGAGGGATTGTTTATTATCTTCAAAAATTGTTTATTATCTTCCTAACCAAATAAAAAAACAATTGAGCAAATTTTGGCACAAACATATGAATAACATTAGGCAGCCATTAGAGTTACAATCTTTGTGTGTTTTTCCTGATTTCCCTTATAAAATGTTAACTATGAAAAAGGACAAAAACAAATGAATGGTATATAATATTAGAAGGCTACTTTCTCAATTATGTAAAGTGTACATTGTATATTTTGAAAACAATCTTTTAAATCTTTCAGTCTAATAGCTCAAAATGCATTTGTTCTCTAATAATTAGAAAAGTATAGACACACAAAAAATAAATTTACTAAAGTTAATAGTAACCATGTCACTATTTAATCTACAATTTATCTTTAATATTCATGAATCCAATAACTTCTTCCAAAAAATATTGAAGAGTTAATAAAAAAAGTTACCTTGTTTTAAAGTACTATTTTACGTGTATTTGTTTTTCTTTTTGTAAAGTAATTAGAATAAAAATTATTTTTAAAAAATTAGCTAAAGTAAACACATTTTAAAAATATTTTAATTTATTTTTTAGAGAAAAAGAGGAAGGGAGAGGGAGAAAAACATTGATATGAGAGTGGAACATTGACTGACTGCCTCCTGCATCCTGGGGATTAAGACTGCAACCTGGGCATGTGTCCTTACTGGGAATCGAACCTTGCTGCATGGGATGATGCCTAACAAACTATGCCACACTGGCCAGAGCAAATACATTAATTTTAAAAAGAATTTTTCTAAAACCACTAATTGGAGCAAGAATTAACATTTCTATACTGAAAACTCAGGGCTCTTAAAAAAAAAAAGAAAGTAACTCATTTCCCCAGGAAATTTAATGTAAGATACCACAACATGCCACTTTCCCTTTTCCAAACTGACCCTCAGATTTGAAATATAATTTTCCCTCTATCTCAGAGTCCTCTGGATAAATATTTGATTTAAAGAGGACTTCAACCTATTAAAATAATCATTGAAAAAATATCTGAAGTTATTCTGGGTTCCTATCTGAGAAATAAAATATTTGTTCCCATATTAGCAGGAAAAATTAACCAATCTAAATAAAAATCTGATCTGGCAGTCATCACACACTATTTCAAGACAAGTGTTCATAAGAGGCATTTAGTCAAGATATATTGCTTATAAGTTTCAGATTCTAAAAGTGAGTTATACTGCCTTTAAATGAAGAGTCCTAGTAATATTAGAAGTTAATAAATTCATTTTTACACTGAATAGAAACCTTGAGAGGTTGTAAGACATCTGGATGCTAGTAACTTGACAACTGTTAATCTATTGTGAGTAGCAAGTGCTTAATTTGCATATGCTGAAAAATATCTTTAGAATTGCTTATAGAGCCAAAACCCGTTTGGCTCAGTGTATAGAGAGTGTCGGCCTGTGGACTGAGGGGTTCCAGGTTCAATTCCGGTCAAGGGCATGTACCTTGTTTGCAGGCACAGCACATCCCCAGTAGGAGATGAGCAGGAGGCAGCTGATCGATGCTTCTCTCTCATTGATGTTTCTTTCTTTTTCTTTTTTTAAATATATTTTATTGATTTTTTACAGAGAGGAAGAGAGAGGGATAGAGAGTTAGAAACATCGATGAGAGAGAATCATCGATCAGCTGCCTCTTGCACACCCCCTACTGGGGATATGTCTGCAACCAAGGTACATGCCTTTGACCAGAATCGAACCGGGACTTTTCAGTCCGCAGGCCTATGCTCTATCCACTGAGCCAAACCGTTTTCGGCTCTCATTGATGTTTCTAACTCTCTGTGAAAAATCAATAAAATAATAATAATAAAAAAGAATTGCTTATAGAATAAATGGGTCAAGAGTACTGTTATTTTAACTAAATTTATTCAATAAATATTTACTGATGCATATAACCACCATTATACTTGGCCTTGAAGAAATAATCCGAATGAAAAATAATCCCTGCCCTTGAAGAGGAGTTGACAAGACTTTAAGATGTAATAAGTGTGATTACAGAGATGTGAAACTACTGTGTGAGCACTGGGACAGAATAACTGGGCAAAATAGTGAAATTTCACAGATGAGGGGACTTTTGAACGAGTTCTTAATACAAGGGTGGGGAACATTCGGCCTGCTGGCTGAATAATGCTCGGAAAGTCATTTGGTCTGGCCTTGTCAAGGCATGAGGGGTGAGTTAATTAAATGTCTGAACAAATATAGCAGGCTAATTTTTAAGTTAATTTTGTATGGTCTGGGAATGATGTTATAAATATCCAAATGGCCCTTGGCAGATAAAAGGTTCTCCACCTCTGCCTTAAAGCATGACTATATTAATCTTAAGCAGAAGAGTAGAGTAAAACTAGGTGTTAAAGACAGAACAGCCCTGATTGGCATGGATCAGTTGGTTGAGCATCATCTGTGCACCAAGAGGTTGCTGGTTTGATTCCCAGTCAGGGCACATGCTGGGGTTGAAGGCTGGATCTCTATAAGGGGGCATGCTGGACAGCCGATCAATGTTATGTTCTCAAAACAATGTTTCTCTCTTGTCCCTTCCACTCTCTCTAAAAAAATCAATAAACTATTTTCTTTTTTTTTTTTTGGTTTGTTTTGTTAGTCCTCACTTGAGGATATTTCCCCATTGATTTTTTAGGGAGAATGAGAGAAGGAAAGACAGAGAGAAACATTGATGTGAGAGACACACATCAATTGGTTGCCTCCTGCATGAGCCCTGACCAGGGTCTGGGCCAGGAAAGAGACTGCAACCAAGTTACATGCCCTTGACCGGAAATGAATCTGGGACCCTTTGGTCTGCAGGCTGATACTCTATCCACTGAGTCAAACCAGTGAGGGCAATAAACAATATAAAAAAATGTATGTATCTTTATTGATTTCAGAGAGGAAGGGAGGGAGAGATAGAAACATCAATAATGACAGAGAATCATTGATTAGTTGCCTCTTGCATTCTGCACTGAAGATGGAGCTCATAATCAGGGCATGTGCCCTGACCGGGAATTGAACCCTGACCTCCTGGTTCATAATATGATGCTCAATCACTAAGACATGCCAGCTGGGCCAATAAACTATTCTTTAAAAAATGAGAGAGAGAGAACATCACATGCAAAAGTTCAAAGTTATAAAAGATTTCATGCATATCCTACATAATAAAAGAGTAATATGCAAATTAACCATCACTATGCTACACCAACCAGCCCACCAGCCAATCAGAGTGAGCATGCAAATTAGCCCCCAACCAAGATGGCTGCAGCCTCAGAGAGCAGTTGAGAGGCTTGGGTTTCCCTGGCAATAGAGGAAGCCAAGCTTTCCACACACCCTGGCAGGCCTAGGCCTCCACTCCCGGCTATCAAGAATCAATTGTAGAAGGTAAACAAATTCATACAGAAATGGTGGCAACCATTGAGTGAGAGCAGGGTGCTTGACTCCGCTCCAGGCTACAAAGTTTCAATTGTAGAAGGTAAATAAATCCCAGATACCAGGGCCTCCACTTGGGTCGCCAGGGGGTGCAAACCACCACAGGCCCCTCGCCCAGGCTGCCCTACACCCCAAGGGAACCCCCACCCTGATCCAGGACACCCTTCAGGGTAAACCAGCTGGCCCCCATCCATGCACCAGGCCTTTATCCTATCTAATAAAAGTGTAATATGCAGATTGACCATCACTCCAACACAGAAGATGGCTGCCCCCATGTGGTCAAAGATCCTGCCCCCATATGGACACAAGATGGCCACCACAAGATGGCCAGCAGGGGAGGGCAGTTGGAAGGCACCAAGCCTGCAAGGGAGGGCAGTTAGGGGTGACCAGGCCAGCAGAGGAGGAAAGTTGGGGGCAAACAGGCTGGCAGGGTAGCAGACATCAATCAGGCTGGCATGGGAGTGGTTAGGGGGTGATCAGGCTAGCAGGCAGAAGCGGTTAGGGGCGATCAGGAAGGCATGCAGGTGAGCAGTTGGGAGCCAGCAGTCCTGGGTTGTGAGAGGGATGTCCTCTCACCAGGATCGGGTCTGAATGGGCATTTAGACATTCCTGGAGGAATCCCAGATTGGAGAGGGTGTAGGTTGGGCTGAGGGACATCACCCCCCCAACACCACCCTGTACACGAATTTCGTGCACCGGGCCTCTAGTGAGAAAAAAGTATGACTGTCCTTTTTATAAAATTAGAAAATGCACCAAATTATATAAAAAATAAACACAGTCCATGTGATCACTTGGATTTCTAATCATTATTTGTTATTATGTTATACCCATCTAATTAACCAAACTTCACTATTATACTTACTTATAATAGTGTTCCCAGAGGTTTCTATATCTTCCTTGACCTGACATGTCAAACACTGTAAAAGACAAACTAAAACAAACAAAACAACCATGACTATATTATCAGTTACTAACTTTAAAGTATAACTTTTACTTAAACTTTTAAATTGCTTTCAATAAAAGAAACCACTCTTGAGCCTTGACCGGTATTGCTCAGTTGGGTGGGCGCCCTCCTATGCCCTGAAAGGTTGCTGGTTCGATTCCCAGTCAGGTCACACATCCTAGTTGTGGGCTCAATCCCCGGTAGAGGGTGTGTAGGAGGCGGCCGATCAATGGTTTGCTCTTACATTGGTGTTTTTCTCTCTCTCTCCCTTTCCCTCTAGAAATCAATAAAATAAAAAAAATCTTAAAAACATCATAGAAATCATTCTTTAATATATAATATTCAACTTAGGCCAATTTTCAAGTACAAATGCTATAAAATAAATTTGTTGAATAGAAATATGATTTTGTAGTGAGTAAAATAAAATGAAATATTTTCTTTGCTAGTGAGGTTATCAACATTTGTCTAAAGTCTAAATTCTAAAAAATAATCCAGAGGTAGTAGTATAAATATTTTAACACCTAGGGACTCCTGAAAAAACAAAGTACTTTTTCTAAGAGTAGATTAGAAAGGCCTAATATTAGTATAATTTTACCCACAGCTTCTTAGTCACAAATATAATAAAGTGAATTACCTGGATGATTTGAATTTCTCTATGCTGAATCCTATTGTTGGAACTATATCTTGAGTTTGAGCCTTTAAGACAAGAAAAGACAAAGCTTAAAAATTTGCAATTATCAAAGATGAATTCTTTTTGCCTCAAGTTAAAAAAGTGCATCCAGATTTTCCAATTCTAAAAATATGTTACTAAACAAATGGCAGGTTTTGTAATGGGATCATTGGGGATAAATTCTTTATAGAAGTTGAAGGTTTATTAATTATGAATTTTTATGACATGTATTAATTCACATTTTGTGGCTTGCTGCAAGTTAAAATGGACTTAAAGTGGTTTGATAAGTCATGCTGAGTTCACATATAGGATTTTCTAATCTTTCTATACATGCTTATTGAGTTTACATACACTATGGAAAAATTGTCCTCATATCTGGATGATATACATAGTCCCTGCTCTCATGGAATTTATAATCTAGACTAGAGGCCTGGTGCATGAAATTCGTGCATGGGGGCTGGGGGGGGAGGTATTTCTGTTTGGATTTGTTTATCTTCTATAACTGAAACTTTGTAGCCTTGAGTGGAGGCTTAGGCTGGCAAGGGCAGGCGGAAAGCTTGGTTTCTTCCATTGCTGGGGAAACGCCTCCTTCCTGCTCTCTGTGGCTGTAGCCATCTTGGTTGGGTTAATTTGCATAGTCGTTCTGATTGGCTGATGGGCGTGGCTTGTGGAGCGGAATGACGGTGATTTGCATATTACTCTTCTATTAGGAAGGATAATTAGTGTCTAGTATTTTTCTTATGAAGTGCCTAATATCCTTCCAAAAATATCTTTTTGTTGATAATGTTGGCCAGAATTCATTTCCTGCTAAATAATTAAGTTACAGACAAATACAATTTTGGGCAACAATTAAGTGCAATGAGGTATTTGAGGTGGGAGGCAATGGGGCAGAGGTGTTTACGAGGCATGGAAAAGGGGTGCCCAGGAAAAGCTTCTCTGAGGAGGTGACATCTGACCAAAGAGTGAATATCAAGAAGAGGAAAAGTTATGACAAGATCTTGGCAAAGAGCATTACAATGAAATGATCCTAAGATAGAAACTTACCACTTGGAAAAAGTAGAAAGCCTTTATGTCTCAGGCATATTACATTAGAGAAAGAGCTGTATGCAACAAAGTAAGGAAGGTATGGCCTTGAAGGCCATGATGAGGAATTCTTTGTGGAGAAGAGACTGCAGGTGGGCAAGAGTATAGCAGAAGACCCACTGATAAGTCCCACAGGCAAGTACAGTAACATGCCTTACAGTACACTGGCAACTTAACACAGCGTCTCCTAACATTTCCACCATCAGAACTGTTCCTTACTTTGATTAAAAATCATCCACCTTCTGATCCAGATGTCCAGAAGTTATTCTTGACTCTCTTCTTTTTTATATTCTCTATATAGCTATTCAATAAGCTTCATTAGTTCCATCTTATTAACTTAGGTCAGACCCTTATAATATTTTGCTTTGAATTATTATAACAGCCTCCTAATTACTAATTGCTAATAAGCTACCTTACTTAATTTCTCTAAGCCTTAGTTTTCTCAAATTTAAAATATATTATCCTTAACTCATAGTTATCATGAAAATTAAATGCGTTAATGGATGTACTCAACAGTGTCTGGTGCATAGCAAATACTCAACGAATGTTTGCTGTTATTATAATTACTCTCACTGATTTTATTCTTGTCCTATTTTTCTCTATACTCCCATAAGTAGAACTTAAAAAAAAAATCCCCCTTCAGTTTATCTGATTGCTTTTATGTGAAAACAGGAAGAATAGAGAAGAAATTGTTGCCTCTCATCATTAAAATGGAAAGAGAGAAACAGCAAAGTCACCGGAGCTCGGTCCATTTCATGGGACCAATGTGCTAGTGAAAAGGCCTTCTCAGAGCTACCTTGGTTTTGCCTTTCTGAGTTTGTTTATTCAGCCTGTCCTTCCTTCTTATGAAGTGCCTCGTATTCTTCCAAAAATATCTTTCTTTTTGTTAATGATGCTAGACAGAATTCATTCCCGCTACTCAGATTCATGCCTCATACTTTCATCGCACAACAGATTTGGAATAGCCTCCTAATTTTTTATTGCTCCCAATTACCCCACTGTTTTGATCTTAAAGGTTTCGTGTACCAATCTTATGATAAAATCATCAGCTATTATTATTAGGAAAAACATACCAATAACAAAAAAGTGAGGAAGTTAAAAGATTTAAGATATCTCTGGAAATTGAAGTCTTACCCAGCTTTTACACAAACTCTTTTGTTCTAAGACCACTTTTTAACTTGCTGTTTTACTTAATAGGGATAAAATTAATCAACTTTGTCTTCCTCTTCTCACTTCTAAAGTTTTAATGGAAGATAATTAGAAAGAAGAAACTCCAAAAATTAAGCATGATGGAATGAGGTATGTAAGCAGATGCTTCTATATTCAAGTGGGATTTATTTTTCTCTAAAGAATTTCAAAACATAGTCTCCAACATTACTCTTCCTCTGCTCTATCCAGGAACAAATGAATTTCAGTCATTCTCAAAATTGACAGGGAATGGCACAAAGTCAACAAAGAGCAAAGGCATTATTACCTAAGAGGGACAGACCACTTAGGGCTGAGACAGCCCAGGGATAGACCAACATCAAGGAGAGAATGACATTTCTGAGAGAGAGACTCTATTTGGTAAGTTGCAGTAAGTCTAGTAAAAATTATATTCTTGGTGCCATTAATCATCATTACCTGCCTAAAAATGAAAATGAAAAAAAAAAATCAGCTATCAATCTGTTTGTCCAAAACTATACTTAAGTGCCAAGCAATATTCTAAGGATTCAGTGTTAAACAATATAAGATCCCTGCTCTTATGGAATTTAAATTTAAATTTATGGAGGAAATTTAGTAAACAAGTTACCAACTAAAAATGCAAGGTAATTTTAGATTATTTTAAATGCTAAGAATATAAAACTGGAAGATGTAGTAGAATGAAAGTATGTTATGTTGAGAATGGAAGACAAAACAGGAATTTTAAAAGAAATGTGTTTATAGAGTGCATCTATCTCTAAGAAATGTAGCTAAGACCACATTCTTTTTTATTTTATTTTATATTTTATTTATTTTTTACAGAGAGGAAGGGAGAGAGATAGAGAGCTAGAAACATCGATGAGAGAGAAACATCGACCAGCTGCCTCCTGCACACCCCCTACTGAGGATGTGCCTGCAACCAAGGTACATGCCCTTGACCGGAATTGAACCTGGGACCTTTCAGTCCGCAGACCGATGCTCTACCACTGAGCCAAACCGGCTTCGGCTAAGACCACATTCTTGAGAAGAATAATCAGGCTAAAATGTACCCCCTTTCTCCCTATTCATCAGTTTATAAAACACCAGCAACCTCAATATATAAACAACACATCAGCATCAGGGTGGCTTAATATTAAAAATCAGTTTGGGTCTAGAAGTATTTACTTATCTAGAAACTGACTTTATCCACAAAAAGTCCAATACTTTATTGTAAAGTACGTATTGGACTACTTTACAATAAAATGAGATTTGTAATTTTTCTTTGTAGCACATTTCTGATACAGTATTGTAGATTTCTATAATTCACTTAAGTTATTACAAATAATGTTTCTAAAACTAAACTCACAAGAGGCTCTTCCTTGGTTCAAAGGTAGGGAGGAAGCGAATGTTGTATCTATACTGTGTGACAGAGATTGGGGGTCTTTAAGAAGTCCCATTTCAAGCAACTTACTCTGCTCTCACACTAGAGGTCAATTTTCTGAAGAAAAAGGATAGTTTCTAGTTCCATAATTTACCAGAGATAACACTGGCTGTATACCCAGATTTTCCTTGAGGCTCTCACTAATGTGGTGTATAAAATGGGAATATCAGAACATTTCAAGATGACATATCAGCACATGCTGTTTCCTTCCTCTTCTATCCCAAGTCTCTAGAAATGACAGAATAAGTTATGAAAACAAATTCTCAAGTTAAAAAATAAGAGCAAGTGTCTTCAAAGGACCAATAATGTTTAGGGAGAAAGCTATTCCCATCCATATCAAAGATTATTCCTATGGTAATAACCATGTCTTGGATTAGAAATCAATATACTTTGGGAATGATAAAGGAACACACTGTAATTTTTATTTTTTTCTTTGAATATTATTTCTCTCAATTTGAGAATAGTAGACACTTGGGGTTGGTCCATTGGGGGGCTATTAACTGTGGCTCTGGTTTTAATCATTTTGTACTTATGAGACACTTTTTAAAAAAATTTCCTTGAGGCCAGTTGAGTATGGACAGACTCCATGTATGTTGGCTTTTTAACCTGTTCCATTCCTTACTGGGGAAGAATCTTCTTTCCCTGTTTCCATATAGAGAAAACTCCATGACAATGAGATTCCTAGTTTCTGTATCTCCCCACCCCAATTTATTTCTCTCCATGACTTCTTTGCTCAATTTGTAAAATGGAACTAAATATCCTTGGTTCTGTCTGTCTGTCTGTCTATCTCATTTGAGAGCCACATGCTTTTGCCAAGCACGCATTCTCACCTGTTCCTAGCTATGCGGTAGACCTAGAAGAACTAGATCCTTCCTTAAGGAGGAAACATTGAACGTTTAGAAGGCTAAATTTCAATTCAAGACAGTGTTAGCAAGTCCTCTGGCCAGACTTAAACTTTGCCCTCCAAAATCAATCTTTTCAATTAAGCCGGTATTTTTTATTTTATTATTATTATTTTTTTACCTCTGCCTAATTTCAGCATGTGTATCCCAATAATTCCCAACTCAGCTGGGAAGTCCCCTTAAAACATCTATATTACCTACCAAATCCATTTTCAGCTTCTTATCCCAGCTACTTCAAACTAATTCCCATCTGAAAATATACCAGTTGTTAGTTATTTTTAAATGGCAAACTCATCTATGTAGAGATAGGGAATAATGATCAGAAGAAAAGAAATAATGGCATTTTCTTAATTCCAAAGCAATCTCCAACTAAACAGAAGTAAAACTGAAGTTGCTGCAAAAGAAAATGGAGCAAGAAGTCATTCTACCCAACCTGAAGCACTATTCGGGGGCAATGAAGTCTGCCTTTAAGCACCATATTTAGGGGCAACATCCTCACTGTCCAGCCACTCAACCATTAAGAGTACCAGCTTCCTGATGCTTGTGCTATCTGGACAGTCCAAGTTATCTTTTCATTCAACTAATGGTTTAAGTGAAATTAATTGACTAATAGTTTTTATCGAAGTAAAAGTATTTATAACTGTAAATGTTGGCTGTCTTCCCAATATCCATTTCCCCCTTCTCCTAAACTTACAGGACCCCTATTATTTTTAAAAGCAGTAATATATGTTCTACTTAAAAGATCCAGCCTGATTTACAGAAAGGAGTAGCCAGTGAGACCTAAGAGTCATTAGTTGGAGGTCTGGGTAAGTTCTTCCAAGAAGGCTTATTCAGGAAGAAGGCCTATTCGTTTGTCCTGTCCATTCTCCTCTTGGTGACTTAGAATACAGATAAGATAGTTAACCAAAGGGACCATGTGGAGATCTTGAGGATGAAAACCAGGCCCTAAAAATAGGAGAGCAGAAAATGGAAGGTACCATATACCTGCCATCCCTGCCCTGGAATTCCTCCTCTGGACTTGTTTAGATGACAAAAAAGAAGGCTTGTTTTATTTAGTCAACTATTATGTGGGTTTTCTTTATATGTAGCAGAAACTAGCTTTAACTTATGTGTCATGTGGTAAATGTGCTAGCTTTATATAGTTTTCAATTATTAAAACAATAAACTTACACACTTATTACTTAAATGACTTAGAAGTCATCTTGCTTATTACTACCGATATGCACACCATACTCATGGGAAACTGCCTAATTATCCACAGAACCTGTGAAAATGATTCACCTTTCCTTTTGTTTTGCTCTTCTTATAAAGAGAGAGCCAAAAAGACAGCAAGACTAGCTGAAAGTAAACTGGACAAAAAGACATTTGAAAAATATACCAGTTTAAATAATCAAGATTTACCTATATATAATACCTGGGAAAAATATACTGCAAACGATGGCTTAGTGATACTTAATACTTTACGTAATAAGTTACCCACCCCTACTGTTAAGAGGATTTCATAACATGACTACATGAAGTTACAAGGGCAAAATGATTTTGCATTTTAACTTTCTCTAGAAGAAAATACATAAAACACCTAACAAAGACACTTACGTTTGAAGGTTTGAGTTTGTTGATGATGGTTGTTTTGCCGCTATTATCCAGCCCGAGGCACAGGACGTGGACTTCCTTCTTCTTCAGGCCCAGCAACCCTGAAAGTCTGTCTAGCAATCCCATAATGCGATTCAGATATTTACAAACCAGCTGCAAGCCAGGAAAAAAGATACATTACCCACAGGCACGTTAAGTATGGAAAATATGAGCATGTACATAAAAATTTAATAATATAAAGACAAAATGATGTGAAAACCATGTCAATATAGCTTTGTATTTAGTACACAGAGTATAAGCTGATTACCAGAAAGGAGCCTTAACTGAAATGCAGATCGGCAGCTTATAACCCCTGGCAACAGAGAATAATGCCCTTGAAATGGCTGTATATTTATCATTGTAATTTTATAATATTTAAGAAGAAATCATGGTTAAACTCAGTATCTGTGGAGTCCACCATTTGTGATACATGAAAATATCTGCAGCCTTTTCTGGAAATGTGGAACAATGTATGGCAATAGGGTTCATGGCAGGGGTGGGAAACCTTTCTCCGCCAAGGACCATTTCAATATTTATAACATCATTCAAGGGCTATACAAAATTATCAACTTAAAAATTAGCCTGCTATATTTGGTTAAACATTTAACTAAGTCACCCCAGACCAAATGATTTCTTGGACCTTATACAACCTGCAGGCCGATATTTCCCACCCCTAATGTGGAGCCTAAGGCTGAAGCTTAGAAGTAGGAGGCAGACAAAAAGAGAGAGAGAAAGAGAGAGAGAGAGAGAGAAAGAGAGAGAGAGAGAGAACGAACGAACTCCGGCCAACGTGGATCAGTTGGTTGGGGTGTCGTACACCGAAAGGCAGTGTGTTAAATTCTGGGTCAGTGCACTTTCGGGAGGCAACTGATTGATGTTTCTCTCTCTCTCACACATAGATGTTTTTTTTCTCTCTCCCTCTCCTTTCTAAAATCAAAAGAAAACGTATCTTTGAGTGAGGATTAAAAAATATATATATTTTTTTGCCCTAGCCTGTTTGGCTTAGACTCTAAGCCTTTAGAGCATCAAAAAGAAATTCGGGTTTGAGTCCGGCTATTTACCTCGGTTGCAGGTTTGATGAGGCAACCAATCGATGTGACTCTGACATTGATATTTCTCTCTGTCTCACCCCTCCCTTCCACTCTCTAAAAATCAAAGGAGAAACATCCTGGGGTGAGGATTAACAACAACAACAAACCCCACCCATCCCACCCCTCACCCCCTCCCCCCCAAAAGAAAGGAAAGGGAAAAAAAGAAAGAAAAAATTGAGACTCTGGCTACATCATTTGACCCACTGGCTAAATCTTTTTCTGAAGCCAACTCCAATGTTTTATTTTGCAAGAATATGAAGTAATAAACATTAAATTCATGATTTTGTTTGTTTGCTTAATTATATTCAGTTTAGGTTACACTTTCTATCATTAGAAATAAATAATTCTGATATATAGGATGTCCTCCCAAAATGTCTATACAAACCTTGAATAATTATATAGGCAGTGTTTATTAAAATACATTTCATTTAAAAAAATATATATATTTTATTGATTTTTGTACAGAGAGGAAGGGAGATAGAGAGTTAGAAACATCAGTGAGAGAGAGTCATGGATCAGCTGCCTCTTGCACACTCCCTACTGGGAATATGCCCGCAACCAAGGTACATGCCCTTGACCGGAATCAAACCCAGGACCTTTCAGTCCCCAAGCCGACGCTCTATCCATTGAGCCAAACCGGTCCCGGCATACATTTCATTTTCGCTCAGCTGGTGTGGCTCAGTGGTTGAGAGCTGATCCATGAACCACTAGGTTACTGGTTCAGGGTCAGGGCACATGCCCAGGTTGTGGGCTTGATCCCCAGTAGGGGAAATGCAGGAGGCAGCCAATTAATGATGTTTCTATCTCTCTTTTCCTCTCTCTTTGCCTCTAAATAAAAACATATTAAAAAATACATTTCATTTTCAAAACTGAGCTATCAGCTGTTTAAATGTATATAAATTTTTTGGACATTTTGTGTTTATCTTAATTTTTCCAGTCCTTACATGCATCTCTGGTAAGTCAATACAAATTCATTTAGGAAGTTTATGCATAATATATACACATGTGCGAACACTCACACAATTTTATCAATCCTTAATAAATATCTATTTTCTTAAACTGTAATATATCTGAAGTAGCCTGTTAAAGTAGTATTTTAAGAAAGTAAATACTGATCTTAGATTTTAATCTAGCTTTCTTAAATACTGAAAAAGTTTCTTTAACTCATCCCTGACGTGTTCACTTGTTTATTAATTCATTCTTTGGGGGGAAAAAATCCTTCCAATGTAAACCTTAAAAAAATCCCCATTAGAGCCGAAACTGGTTTGGCTCAGTGGATAGAACGTCAGCCTGCGGACTGAAAGGTCCCGGGTTCGATTCCGGTCAAGGGCATGTACCTTGGTTGCTGGCACATCCCCAGTAGGGGGTGTGCAGGAGGCAGCTGATCAATGATTCTCTCACATCGATGTTTCTAACTCTCTATCCCTCTCTCTTCCTCTCTGTAAAATATCAATAAAATATATTTTAAAAAAATCTCCATTAGAAATCCAAACAGAAGTATTTTGAAGCCAAATAAAACAGCTGATAACATATTGCTTACTACATGGTCCCTTGTTCATATTCTTCTAAGGTCCTGTCCAATTTAGATGTTAGGTTTCCAAATGAAACTTCCCAAAGGTGTTCTCTTTAGGTCCGTTACCTACCCAAACAGTATTATGTGGGTGGGAGAAGAAATACATTCCTTTGACAGCCCTCAACTGCTATGGGGGCTGCTATAGCAGTAACTATAATATACTGGTGTTTCAACTATTTCCTGTTACTCTCTGGACCATGATTTTTAAAGTTCTCTGAATATTAACCTCATTTATTTTATTCTCACTTTCATCTAAGGTTCCAGAAGCCTGTCACCTTGCAGCTCCTTCAGTATTTTTTATCCCACACCATCCCAGGCCAGGTTATACCTCGAAGGATCTGAGGTTCCAACAACTTAAATCCTAAAGGCTTCCAAGACAACCGCATTCGAAAGGAGGCTGTACCATCAGTTTTGCTCAGGACCCTTGGGAGATCATTATGGACAGAAGTTTCAAAATGGGATTCTAAGCCCTGGCTGAGTAGCTCAGTTGGTTAGAGCATCAGCCCGACACACCAAGGTTGCAGGTTCCATCCCTGGTCAGGGCTCATACAAGAAGCAACCAATGCCGAAGCTAGTTTGGCTCAGTGGTAGAGCGTCGGTCTGTGGACTGAAGGGTCCCAGGTTTGATTCCGGACAGGGGCATGTACATTGGCTGCGGGCACATCCCCAGTAGGGGGTGTGCAAGAGGCAGCTGGTCGATGTTTCTCTCTCATCGACATTTCTAGCTCTCTATCTCTCCCTTCCTCTCTGTAAAAAATCAATAAAATATGTTTAAAAAAAAAAGGGATTCTAATAACGTGTAGGAAAAAGGTGCAGTGACCCATCTGAGCATGGGGACTTATAAAAGAGCCCCAGTTGCCTTACCCAAGGAATGGGGCTGATGTCAGGTACTCCCTCTGTCCCACTTCAATCAATTTTTCTCCTCGTGTTGGAGATTTAAATTTCTTTCAATCTATTCCTTTACATCTCAGCTTAAGGATAAGCATTTGCAGAATCTACTTTAAGCTAGACTTTTGATATCATAAAACAATTCACACAATTTTATTTATTTTTTATTTTTTAAAATATATTTTATTGATTTTTTAGAGAGGAAGGGAAAGAGATAAAGAGCTAGAAACGTCGATGAGAAACTTCGACCAGCTGCCTCTTGCACACCCTCTACCGGGGATGTGCCCGCAACCAAGGTACATGCCCTTGACTGGAATCGAACCTGGGACCTTTCAGTCGGCAGACCGACGCTCTACCACTGAGCCAAACCGGTTTTGGCCAATTCACACAATTTTAATTGAAAGTAAATTTGCTATAATTCACTTTGTTGTTTATTGTAGTAAAACACGGATATAAAGACATACATATATAGCTTTCCATACAATCAGTTTTTGAACTGATTTTAAAAAACGTGATGACTTCTCACATGATCCCGCTCTGGGCATCTACTATAAAGCATCAATAGTCTAAAGCCTGATATTGGATATTCACTTTTCATGAAACTTGGATTGTGATTTCCCATCCCCTTTTCCTGGGTTATCAAACGCCCATTGCCTGTGACATACAACTTAAAAGAGCGGTCAGCTGTTCTAAAAAGTGTAATTACATTTATTGAAGTTGCTTTATAAACAATTAACATATGCTTCTATTTCTTAGTAAATATATATTTCTGTAAGGTTACTCTTGTGTGCATGCTAGGAAGGGGAAAAAGATAATTCAAACTACTCAACATTTATTTATCGTGTCCTAAGGGTACAGTGAGAAATACGATTAAAGTTTTCTGCAAGCTATTGGATTAGTATTTCTGAAGATGGGACCGGACATCTGCTTTTTAAAAAGCTACCCAATGTTTCTGATATCCAGTCACCATTGAGAACCCCTGGCTTTCAGGATAAATTCCAAACCATCACGCACAGCTGGTAAGCGTGTTCACAGTCTGGCTCCCATCCACCTTTCCAGTTCTGTATCTTCCTGTTTTCCTCCCTCTGCACAGCCGCTAATCAAACTCTTCTGGCTGTTACCCGAGGAACGGCTCTCTAAAGGATTTTACCTGTTGCCAGAAAAGTCCTAAAGAATTAGGATTTCATTCGCCACTAAGAACTTAGAAGCTGCAGAGACAGGGGTCAGGCAAAGAAAACACTACTGAGTTGTACTTCGTAAACTTAAAAAAAAATGTTTCTAGCGTGAATTATTGCTCACTCTAGCTCAAATAGCCATTTTTTTTTTATTCGCCTTTCAGTTTTTGATTATGAAAATTCAATTACCCTTCCCACACACCAAATGAAAACACCCAAATGGGACAGTACCTAAAACAAAACACAAAACAAAAAGCCCGCCACACAACTACACGGACATTTGCCCAGACCCGTTCAGTGAGTTTCCTGGGGTCCCGAAGGCTCACCGCTAAGTACACTGGGCCCCCAGCCTCCCGCCCG